CCCACGAAGGATCAGAAGACCCAGGAGCAGCCACCCTCGGGCCCCAAGTCAGCCAAGAAGCAGGAGGAGGACCAAGAGCAGCCACCGTCGAGCCCCAAGTCAGCAAAGAAGCAGGAGGAGGACCAGAAGACCCAGGAGCAGCCGCCGCAGCAGAAGGCCTGCGCCAATCAGGAGTCCCCAAGGTCCAAGGCCAATGGGAAGGAGGTGGAGGCATCGTCGCCGAAGTCAGCCGCTTGATGTGACACTGGCCACCTTTTTTTAATTAATAGGTTCGGAGTGTTTTGTCTGTCTCGTGTGCCCCTTTCTTGATCTCTGTACAACATGTTCCTTCTGTCACACACACACATATGACAAAGCCAGCGTGTGATACAAACATGTATGTACACATTTCTGTTTATCTATCTGTGTACATATAAAAATATATATACACATGTGTGTGTGTGTGTGCATATGTATATATATATATATACACATGTATATACATTATACATGTTTAGTTGTGTATATATATATATATGTACATACATATGTGATTTAGAGATGCACACAGGTAACACATATGTGTTTACAGTTTGCTGCCTTTAACTTCTCGCTCACATGAAGCTAGATCGAGGTGAAGCAGGACACCGATGTCGCTAGCTTGGTGTCTGACAGCTTGGTGCATATTCAGGAGGAGGTCAGTTCCAGTAACATCAAGAAGCGCATGGCCCGGCTCTTCGCTCCACGTTGTGATGGTTCGTACCTTGTGCCGAAAGAGCTGGTGGAGCAGTACAAGGACCCGAAGCAACGTCCAGCTTTGGAAGCGGAGTTCAAGAAGGCTGGCCTTGACAAGGACTGGTTTCTATAGACTTTGACACATGCACATACACAAACATGTATACATGTGTAGATCTTTATTATGTACACATATATGGTATGTATTCCCTGTGTAACATTTGCGAAACATACTCAAGCCAGGAGCTGTTCCTGAAGCGCTCTGTGAAGAAGATCAAGCGCCGTGAATCCGAGAGTGAGCTCTGGGTGTCGGGGCAGTTCGTCTCGGACGGTGACATGGACGAGCTTGGCATGACTGCCAAGCGGAAGAAGGCGGTGCACGAGGAGTGTGCGCGCATGAAAGGATGGATCAGGCGGGAATTTAGGTTTCATGTGTTCCCGTGAAATGATAGATTCTTTAGAGAGAGAGAGAGAGAGAGAGAGAGAGAGAGAGAGGAGAATATAAGAATGGTGTTTAGACTGTTCGAGACAAGCTGTTCTAGATTGAGGCTGCAAACTATGCATGCAGGAACCAACTGACTCTAAAAGGGGTTTGTCCTTTGCATTAGGAAGGGAACACGAGCAGCGTCAAAAAAATATATCTATATATATATATATATACATGTACATGTAATTAGAATGAAAAATGGTCAACATATGCACATCTATATACCTATATATATATATCTATATGTGTATATATATATACACATATGTGTGCGTGTGTGTATGTGTGCATGCATATGTGCATGTATGTATATATATATATATACATATATATATATATACAGATATGCAGATGTATATGTATATATGCATATATATATATATATATAGATATATATACATATGCATGTGTGTATATATAGGCACCGTATATATGTAGGTATATAGATGTATATATATATATATATGTATATGTGTATGGATGTATATATATATATATTAACTGGCTAAGTTTGTATATATGTTAACTTGCAGTATGTATTTAAATGTGCATATATATATATATGTATACACGTGTATGTATGTGTACATATATGTCAATATATGTACAAATGGGTGTTGCCTTTGTGTTGATCGAAATGTTCGCCTGGACACATGCGTGTATATCCTTACTATAAACATGTGCTTGCAGGTGTAAGTAAGAAAGGTCTCTGTCCTTTCACTTCTATATGGAATACTTGTTATCACGCAGGTTTATTTCCGGACTTGGTTTGGCCGTGTCTGATTGTCTGTTCTTGCACATACATATATATATATATATGTGTCTTTATGTACGGCGTTCCTGTACACATATATATATATATATACATATTTAGACAAATCATGCAATACACACAACTATAGGTATATATACGTGCTAATTATCTACACATATACATATCTACCTTAATTAACCTATATATATATATATATATAGTTTGCATATATATATATATACATATATATATATATATAGATGTATGTATGGCTGTATGTATGTATACATGCATGTGTGTGCGTGATTTATGTGTGTCTACAAATGTATGCATGTTGCATTTACCATGTGTATGTGGATGTGTGCAATATAATGTCATTGCCAGACACTTATGTACATATATATATATATGTGCAGTTCCTGCAGAGGCGAGACCGCTACGAGCCCGACGTCAAGCTGTATTGGCTGGAGAAAGCTGTGGAGGGCAAGATGCTGAGCCTCGGCATACAGTGTGCACATGTGTACATATTCTCATGCATGTCGACCCACCCTGACTTCATGCACATGTTTTGATTGCGGTAATTTAAAAGGGGATTGAAACGCCTGTACCGGTGCAGAAGGAAACATTTATATGTAGTTGCACACATTCAAACCCAGGAAGCGAAAGCGAGAAATCTACGAGGAGGAGGAGAGCGATGCCGAGATGGAAGCAAGCGATGACGAGGCTGATTTCGATGTCTTCGGCATGAATTGGGGCCTTGGCGAAGGTGGACCCCAAGGCCGGAGCTACGCAGAAGTTTCGCGTCTGTTGTAGAGATGCATATGTGCCAGGCCTGCCGATATGGATTCTCATTCTGTACGTGGACCAATCACTAATCAAGCAATCATCCACGAAACGGGGTCGAGACGGGATTCTTCTTCAGCTGTACGGATTCTTTTCATGACCCCATCGAGATGCTGATTCAGTGTATGCTTCTGTAAAACAACACGGTTCTGTATATATGGGATTGATCAAGTAATTAATAGGCTAGCCGGTCTTGCTAGATGAGTGCCTTGCCAGGTGATGACAAGAATGTGGCTGAGGCTGATCGGGGGGCGGATGTGAAAAAATCTTTGAAGTCCATCAGCTTTCCGGAGATGGACTCGGATGGCCTCCCCTCGTCCTACATCGTCAAGGTCGTTTCCTGCTTGGGCAAATGGATCGCGAAGATAGAGGGCATCTCTGACCAGCTTGGCGACTTCAAGAAATCTGCGAAGACCGAGAAGCAACTTGATGTTCTGCTTGTGCACATGCGAGGCTAGATTTTGCTTTGTGGGTAGCGCATGAGTTTGTGTCAGTTTCTGTGTGTATCTAAGGATCAAGGAGAAAGCCAGAGACATCCTCTCCAACTTGGAGAAAACATCGGATACCATTCAGTCAATGCAAGCGGACAGTGTACTTGCGAATCAAGGTTTCACGCCTGGGAGCCTTGGCAGCGCTGATGAGCAACTGCCAGTCTACGTGTGCATGCTCACATTGTAGAGAAGTGAACACACCCATATATACATCTACACACACACACGTGCATGAGTGTATAAAGCATCTATATATACACACACATGCAGACATACGTATATGTATATATATATATTTATATTTATAAGTTCTCTATTTATAACATATATACATATATACACATGTGTGTCCTTGGATTCGGCTGCATATGTATACCCGCATTCCGTAACTACACACATCCACATATATATATATGTATATATAAATATATGTATATATATATATATATGTCTATACGAGTATATGTATACGTATACGTCTGCATAGATAGACATGTGTAGATCGAGGGAGAACAATGCAAACAGGGGGGATGCATATGTAATGTCATTGTATGAATGCTCGTGCATGAGTGCAGCAAACTATGTAACAGTGATTCAGTGCGCATGGACTGCTGAAACGCCCCTGAAATATATAACTGTCTAACCTCCGATCTGGCTTTTCCTTTATAATTGTGAATTAATTATGGTTGTAGCTGTATACGTCTGGTTGAACCACAAGAGCGTTAAATTGTGTTCATAGCATTCATAAACAATAAATACCCATTAAGTTCTCTTGTAATTGCTGCCGTAATATGTAGACCTCCCAGAACAGGTCTCTTCGAGAAGTACTACCTTTTAACAGGGCTGTCCGTTCTCAGGGTCCTGATAAGAGATTGATCGAAGCACCCCATATTACTGACTTTATGGTGGACTTGAAAAACCCTCTGCAAGTCTTCTAATTTAAAGCCTGTATATATTTACACGTGTATACAGTCCTCTCGGCTTGAATTGTGCAAACTTCGGATTAATGCCCAGCCCTCGAAACCTTATATACATGTATGTTTGTAGCTATACGTTGCTGCTAAATTTCTTCCGAGGCAGCAAAGCGAGATCAGGAAGCTCTTCGATACTTCGAAGAAGCAGCCGCCTGACAGCTGTTAGTTGGAGAATGATCTATATATAAGGTCGTTTCTTCGTTAAATCGGGTTAGTAAGTACTTCGACGAACTTATAGTCCTGTCAGCTGATGTGAGAACTCGATCAAGAATTGCTGTCAGTCTTTTCGGTGGGTTCCCCTTCAACATTCCTTCATGTCCGTATCGATTCTTGTAGCACTGTAACAGAAAGGGTGCTGTGCATGATCTTTATAAAGGGTCATTACAAATGATGTCTAGTTCGTCTAGTTAAGAGGGCTTGAATGACTTGTGGGTGAATGGATCCATGGCTCGGTTTCGCCGACTCAAGCAGGCTTGTACATGCATGGTTGTTAATTTAGTGCTGCTTCTGACCACCGATCGAAGTTCATGTGGTCTGTGTAGATATTAGATAGCCTTTACATTATATAGGGTTCGAGACCTATACACAAATCTTCATGTATATTTATATGCATACACGTCTTTAATCGTGCCTTATATATGTGATTGTTACTGGATGCATGTAGAGACTACTATATACAGTTTATGACTGTAAGAATACATACCTATATATATATATATGTTTACACACATATTTATATATAGACACCTCTATGTATATATATATGCACACATCATGCTCCCATTGTTCTGTTACAGGCATACCAATGCTATGCTTCATATCTGTGTATATATCCTAGCTACTGATCCGTCTTGCAGTCCCAGCTGCCCAGTGCGCCGCATGGACCAGAGCTCTTGGCCAATCAATCCTGTTCGCTTCTGTGTTTTTCAAGGGTATATACAGATATGGCTAAGCGCGTTCGAAGCTTGGCTTCAGTCTTGTGGGATGATGACGAAGATGTGGATGCACTGCTTCAGGATTGGAAGAAAACAGACAGTTCTCTCACTGTGAGGTCGAAAGCTTTGCTAGTGTCAGACAATTCTGATGACGTGCCAGAGCGTCCTGAGATACATCCTGTGCTGAAGCTGGATCTGGTGGTTCAGAAACCTGGGCTGCTAAAGCTCCGCCGAACGAGGGATCCGTGGTATTGGTTACATCAAATGCCTCAGGAGGTCAAGGGCTTACCCCGACTTCAGCAGGAGGTCATCCAGGACCTAGAGAGAACCCAATTTGCAAATGGGGCGATCGTCTTTGACCTGCCAACCTCAAGCCTGGCCTCTAGTATACTCTCGCACGCAGAGCTTTGCATCAGGAGCATCTCTTCTAAACACCCTGCCTTGTACAAAGTAGGGGTCACTAGAAATCCGGTTGCCCGGTGGCTGCATACTGGTTATGGGTACAAAGTTGACAGGCAGGTGTCCTGGGAGAGGATGACTGTTCTGCATGTGCATTCTAATGCTGATGTGGTCTGTATGTTGGAGGCAGCCCTAATTCGTATTTTTTTCAATTCATCCGGCTGCCGTAATATTCGCCTCGGTGGTGAGGGCCTGGGGGATCCTGGGAACCAGAGCGGCGGTCCTTTCTTTTGTTATGTAGTACAGCATGTGCTTGTGCCACCGAGTCAGAAGTAGATGCTAGTTCGGATTCCCAGTTTTTACAGGGCTTTTACTTGTCATGTTTGATTCCTGTCACAAGACTTGGTGGCTCGCCAGCTGTTAATTGGTCTTGCAAAGTGGTAATGTGGACCACGCCACGTTACTTGGTAGAAGCTTAGCCTGGAGCTGCTGGCCTTGTGTGAGCACCTGACCTGTATAAACAAGATCCCTTATCTAGAAACTTGCATGATCCAGTGCCAGCAAACTCTATATAGCCACACGATGAGGCAAGTCTGGTTTGCATGCAGCTTGAAACACCAACTGAAAGCTTCCCTTCAAAGCCCATATCAGCCCAAAATAACTGGGAACTGTTGCCAGCAGGTCATCTACATAGGTCACATATTTTAAGTATGTCTACACTCCTGGCTGTGCCTGCAGTGACATCACTAGCTTCAGGTGGCATCTACGTAGCACGCTTGCGTGTACATTGTGAGCCCTGACCTAGAAGCAAAGACATGTGTCTACATGCAGTCGTCAAGTCCTAGGTATATACAGAAACACAGAGACACATACATACATGCACATGTACAAATCCTGAACAAATCTGGACCATGGCGCTGCTGCTCCAGAGTCTCCCGCTTCATGTCCTCAGATGCCAGATTCCGCTCTTAGCAAAGACCCTATATACCTGTAGTAGCGGGTTCGGGGTTTTCAGGGTTGTTTTTGCTTATATAGGATCCTATATAGGTATATATACACTGTTGGAGCTGCCCGAACAACCAATGTGCCGTAAAAGGTATATATAGCTCAGGGTCCTCTGAGAGCCAACTCATGCACTATTGCACGCAAACATTGCGCAGCTAGGTGGGGCCCCGATTTTTACTTCATGTCATTCTTTATGTACATATAAATATAGGATAGGACACGGCACATGTGCATGGAGTTGCAAGCTCCATCGAGCTAGAAGAACATGGAAAAGTTAAATTAGTATGCTATGTCGCTCTGCATGCATGTGGTTTTATACAGTACGTACCTATATATCTATATATAGGCATATCGATATATTTATATATATAAATGGGAAATACAGATCTACACACATTTCTCTGTCTTAATTATATAAGGGCCTGGGTTTATCGATGGTCAGACAGGCTTATATTCGCAGTTTCGCAAGAGCCTAGGCCGCGTGCACAGGTACCCAGCGAGCCAGGGATAAGCAATGGTCGCAAAGACACATGCGTGCTACAACAACCCACGGTACACCACTTCCCGATCGACAGTGCTGAGCTGATGCAAGAACATCATCTAAACAAATGCGACTATGCATAGTAGTTCTTGTTCCTTTATACATTGGTTTACAACCGGTGTGCAATCGGTGGCTGAACTCATTCATTGATTCTCTGTGTAGCGACCAGAGAGAATTGTACATGGATCATATATATATATA